TATGAATAAAACCAGCAGTTTAAAAACAATCACACATAACAAAACTGCATGTTAAAATGGCATGTCTGGTAGGGTAGCCCAAAACAATACCGTGAAGGTCTAATATTAATGCTTCCCTTAGTTCCCCCCACCTCCCCTTGCGAGTTTCCTTGCTGGCCATTTTAAATTTCCCACAATGCCCTGGAGCAATGAAATGGCTGCTCCGGGGCACTGTGGGCAATTTTAAATGTCCCACCTTCCTCTCTGAAACCTGGAACTGGCTCTGAAATAGAAATGGGTTCTGTTTACATTTTGCGAAAGAGTGACGCAGGTTCGTAGCTGAGCCCCTCAACAACATAACTAGCTATTGTCATTCTTTCTGTTGAGAATCCGGCGTAATTATTCCCCTCGGAAATTTTCGCCTGAAGGGTAACATATAGAAGGTTCCTTGTGATATAAAGTGAGGTTGTGCTCGCAGTATTTAGTCTGCCTCAGAGCACCTTCAGTTTCCCCAATGGAGGCAGCCAACAGAGATCTCTTTCAGAGGGTTATCCCCCTTCCTCCCTTGTATACAATGCCACTCAATGCTTTAGAGCATTTCTTAAAAGCTAACTTGATATGCATGCACACACAGACACGCTCACCTGCGCAACAAAGCTCTGTGTGTGGGATTTAAAGCTGGTCTTTTAAAGCCTGGTTTGAAAGCACAAAATAAAGATTTATGGGTGGATTTTCTGCTCGTGGAAGTGACTGTTTGATTAAGATGAGTGGGCTTAGGACTTAGGCGAACTCTCTAGCACCACCAATGTGCCTGCCTCACGGTGGAATTCAGCATAGAGCTAAGGCCAGAGTGGGGGGGATTGGCCTTTTAAAAAATTGTCATTTATGCTTTTCAGATATATACATTTCACTGATTTTACAATCATTTTGACAATTTTTTAATCAATTTTTTTATTGATTTTCCACATTTATAACAGATATAACATATAAAACACACAAAAGAAAACACATTACAATACTAAAAAAAGAAACAAAAATATAAACACATATTACTTGTAAAACCCAATTTAACTTTCATTCTTAACTGACTTCCTCAAATCCCCCCTAACTGAATTTCATTGTATCACCTTGTAACAGTTCTCCAAAATCATCTTTCTAATAAAATTAACTCCTTCAATTTACTATCTTCTTCTCTTTTCTTAATAGTCTAAATCCATATTGCTTTACCATTCATTCTTATTCTAATCCTAAGCCTATTTGATACTTTCAAGTGACTTCTAATTATCTTATGTTACAATCCGCAATCAGAAAGAAGAGGGGTACCAAGAAGATTGGAAGAAATTTAAAGATTATTTAGCTAAATATTGTAATCATTTCAACATTTTAAAACTTGACCTCCTTCCCCCTCTTTCTGTGGTTCCTTAAATTTATTTTTAATATCTTCTGCATATCCAAATTCACTTAAATTACTCATTTATTCATCTTCTTTAAATCTATATTCTTGTGTAACAAGAATTCAGTGTTTTATCTGTTTACAATTTATCTGTAAATATTCAATAAATCATTTCCATTCTTTTATCAAAAGTTTGTTATCTTGATTTCTTATTCTTCCGGTAAGTTTCGCCACATCTGCATATCCCATCAGTTTTTGTATCCATTCTTCCTTTGCTGGGACTTTTTCTTCTTCTTTCCATTTTTGGGCAAGTAACATTCTTGCCGCTGTACATACATGAAAAAAAATTCTATGCAATTTAGCTAGTTCTGTCCCTATAATTCCCAAGAGAATTCTCTCTTCTCTTCTCTTGGCCAGTGGTTTTCAACCAGTGTGCCATGGCACCCTGGGGTGCCTTGAAGGATGGTCAGGGGTGCCATGGACAATCCTGGCCTCTGTCCCTCTGTCCCTTCTCTCCCTCCTTTGATGCCTTCTAGCATCTCTGCCACCCAAAGGCCTGCACAGCTGTTTGTTGCAGCAGCTCTGTGTGGCGATCACACAGGGTCCCCGGATGTTTCACCGTCTATTGATCCCTGTGCCACCATTTTATTTCTCGCTGCCACCACCCTGGGACAATACGGAGTCCAGTCAGGGTTAAATTGAAACATAAACTTTTGTTTATTTGTTGCAGTTTAACAAGCGTGTGGTTTCATAAAGAGTATCAGTCAATTACATTCATGGGGTGCCTATCCAGACCTATAACTTTCGCTACCTGCTCTCACTCACTAAACCACCTCTCAGATATTTACTTGTCTGCCTAGCCCCTTACTGTTCCTGACTCAGCCTATTTTGCAGGTGGCGCTGTGGGTTAAATCACAGAGCCTAGGACTTGCCGATCAGAAGGTTGGCGGTTCGAATCCCTATGATGGGGTGAGCTCCCATTGTTCTGTCCCAGCTCCTGCCTACCTAGCAGTTCGAAAGCATGTCAAAGTGCAAGTAGATAAATAGGTACCGCTCTGGTGGGAAGGTAAACGGCGTTTCCGTGCACTGCTCTGGTTCTCTAGAAGCAGCTTAGTCATGCTGGCCACATGACCCGGAAGCTGTACACTGGCTCCCTTGGCCAATAAAGCGAGATGAGCGCCGCAACCCCAGAGTCGGCCACAACTGGACCTAATGGTCAGGGGTCCCTTTACCTTTACCTTATCTCAACCTACTCATCTCTAGCCCAATTCACTCCCACTCCAACCAACCACCCAACTCCCAATGAACTCCTCCACGAACTCCTCCCAGAGCTGGTTTTATAGTCCCTCTGACCCCCTGGGTCTTGACTGGGCAACCTGTTTAACTATTTCACCTCCAACACTCTCTCATACGTTAACGTCACACCCTGGCTACAAGCTCACTGGGTGAATGGTGCCTCTGGGGCTGGCCAGGGGGTGCTTCCCAGGCCCAGGGGCATAGGAAGGGGGGCGGTGGGTGTGGTCCCGCCCAGGTGTCATCTCTGGGGGGGGGGTGACAAAATACCCCTGGGCGAGGATCGCCACGCCAATCTCCCCCCAGGCGGGGATCGCCGCCAATCATTGCGCCATGCCCATCACCCCGTGGGGATCCCGCTCCCAGATGCACGTCATATGTGCCACTCCGGGTGCCCAAGCGAAATTTACTGAGCAGGTCTGCCTTTCTATTTATAATTTAGCGGTTTTTATTGTTTCATTTTACCATGTCTTCTTTAGATATAGTGGGATAAATTAGGTGTGCAGGCAATAACCAGTAATATTATGGCTTTTTGTTTTAATACTACAAATTCACAGGCAACATGACCGCTCAATAGAATGTGTGTAAATCTAAATGCCAGCTAAACCTCTCATATAACCAGCATGTTTGAGTCAAATTAATGCATGAAGGGCTTAATGCTATAGAGTGAGCCCTCCTGCCAGGCTTATCCTATGTCACTTCCCTTTAACTTGGGAGGAAATAGGTAGCCAAGCTTTAGTTCCCCCAGTCTACCTGTGAACTTTGGTGGGTGAGATACTCTGAACTGCTCCCTCCAACAACCACCACCATGCGAAGGCCAACGTTCTTAAAAGTCTCACGGTGTCCTTCAAATATCATTTCCCTCTAAATCAAGGGTGGCCAACCCATAGCTCTCCAGATAAACTCCAAACTCCCATCAGCCTCAGTCAGTCTTGTCAGTGGTTAGTCCAGCAACGTCTTGATGGCCATAGGTTGCTCATCCCCGCTTTAAAGTTTGCCTCCCGAAGCAGCCTGCTTCTCCTTGCTGCATTGTGATAGGGCTGGTTCACTATGACAAAAGTCTGGAACATGTATCCCAGACTTCCCCAATGTGGTGTTTCGGAATACAACTCCCATCGGCCCCAGCCAATGGCCCGGGTTAATGGGAGCTGTAGTGAAGGTGACTCGGAAACGACAACTAATCCAGAATGTAGCAGCTAGACTGGTGAATGGGGCTAGATCCAGACACACCAAAGAAGCGTTTCAGTTAAACGCATTGCAAACTTTGCATGAGAAATCGGGTTGGCAAAAATGGAACTCCACAGCGCCATCCAGTTTCACATTTTTAGAATGCATAAACAACGCATATAAAGCACTTTTTCTTTGCCAATGTAGCTGAGTCCTGGGAGCAGCCGCCAGGACCATACAACTCCGGTCCTGAAACACCTACACTGCCTCCCAGTATGTTTCCGAGCACAATTCAAAGTGTTGGTGCTGACCTTCAAAGCCCTGAACGGCCTCGGTCCTGTATACCTGAAGGAGCGTCTCCATCCCTGTCGCTCAGCCCAGACACTGAGATCCAGCTCCAAGGGCCTTCTGGCAGTTCCCTCACTGTGAGAAGTGAGGCTACAGGGAACCAGGCAGAGGGCCTTCTCCGAAGTGGCACCCACCCTGTAGAACACCCTCCCATCAGATGTCAAGGAGATGAGTAACTATTTCACCTTTAGAAGACATCTGAAGGCAGCCTTGTATAGGGACGTTTTTTAATGTTTAATGTTTTGTTTTTTGTTTTATTTTGTTTTGATCTGTGTTGGAAGCTGCCCAGAGTGGCTGGGGAGACCCAGTCAGATGGGCAGGGTACAAATAATGAAATCATCATCATCATCATCATGTGGAGGACATCAAATTGGGGAAGGCTACTCATAAAGCTCATGCTCTTTGATGTTATAAATAGTGAGGTGCAAGTGGCATGGCTGGCAGGCATTCATGAGACTATTCTGACTCATGTCAAAGGGCTGGTCTCAAAGGAAAGCAATGGTTGTTCATCATCTCTGTTGCACATCTACTGCTCATTCTTCCTCCTCCTACTCAAGCCCCATTTCATTGCACTTCCTATTCCAGTGCTGATGACATCCAGCCGCATCCTTTTTCCTTTGTTGCTGCTGAATCACATATCACAGAAGAGTTATTTATACCAAAAAAGGCATGGCCTTGTTTATACTGAAGAGAAGGAGTTATGAATGTGTGTTGGTTGTGGTTACGCACATCTGGACAGGACATGGCACACAGATGGCACCTTCGTGCCTTATTTTGTGCCTAGATTTATGCAAGGCTGTGAAACCCAAGAGTCCTTATCATCCATCAATAGCTCAGCTGGTAGAGCATGAGGCTCTTAATCTGAGGGTTGTGGGTTCGAGCCCCACGTTGGGCAAAAGATTCCCGCATTGGCGGGGGTTGGACTAGATGACCCGCGTGGTCCCTTCCAACTCTAAAATTCTACGAATCTGTGATTCTACTATACAGTGAGAAGTCATTAATGAACCTGCCTCAGTTCAGTAATGTACAGGTGCAAAATCAGGAGTACTTTAAGGATATGCACAATAATGTGACAAATACCTGCCCAAAGATAAATATGGAGGTTCTGGGCCAAAGGGTGTTTCAATATTGTTTGGCCATGTTGGCCAGAAACTGGGTGCATTCTACCTTCATATCATTTGCATAAATGCTGTCCCTGACAATACATGTCGTTTAAATGCTTAATAAACATATATACCTGTGCTTAATTTCCCTCCACTTTTCTAACTGCACATTAACAGCTTCCCAACTGCAGAGATATCTTTCCAGCTGCACATTTTGCGTCCAACTGCACCCCTTAAAAATCATCCTTCTGAGTAAGAGCTGTGCACTGTTGCTGCTGTTTCTTGGAGTTCTTGCCATTTTTTTCCAGCAGCAGTCGTGCTGTATGGCAGGATACTTAATGTCAGCACTAGGGGGTTCAAGCAGCTTCCAAGCTATCATGTAGCACCTGGATTCTTAATATACATACGGCTTACAGGTAACACTTTAGCTGCCGATTCATTACCTTAAGGACTTAGAAAAGAGCTAGCCCCCCTGCCCCCAAAAGCTGAGATGTGCTTCTCACTACAGTACTGCAATTTTGCCTTGTATCATTGAGAGGGTTTTGTAACATTTACCATACCTATTCCAGCTACCTATTTCAGTGGATCCTATTGCAAGTTTCTCTTGTAAAAGGCAAAGGGACCCCTGACCATTAGGTCCGGTCGTGGCCAACTCTGGGGTTGTGGCACTCATCTCGCTTTATTGGCCAAGGGAGCCGGCGTACAGCTTCCGGGTCATGTGGCCAGCATGACTAAGCCACTTCTGGCAAACCAGAGCAGCACACGGAAACACCGTTTACCTTCCCGCCGGAGCGGTACCTATTTATCTACTTGCACTTTGACATGCTTTCGAACTGCTAGGTGGGCAGGAGCAGGGACCGAGCAACAGGAGCTCACCCCATTGCGGGGATTTGAACCTCTGACCTTCTGATCAGTAAGTCCTAGGCTCTGTGGTTTAACCCACAGCGCCACCTGCGTCCCGTTTCTCTTGTACTATGTAATAAATTTGTAAGGCTGTGGTCATGCTACAGTTTGTGTGGCCACCAGTAGATGTGCTGATCTCCTAAATTCCAGTGTGGTTGCAGCAATTCAGCTGCTCCATATGGTGAAATCTGAACGCATGAATTGAGGCTGTGTGTTGGGATATACGTTGGGGAAATCCCGCAATTTTGGACAGTGGATCCAAATAAATATTTCCACTCCTTATAAAATGTATGCCAAAGTTCTATGGATTTTGTCAGAGGAAAAATAGAATCAGATGAAATATTTAATACATGTCCAACAAAGCCTGCATGCTATTAAAATAACGGCCCATCTTCATTCATGTCATAAGAACCAGAAGGGGAAATTACTGTTCTACCAATACTATTGCTTTTATTATACACTCTTTTGGGTATGATTTCCTGGAAGGGCAACTGATGTATGGGTGTATCAATCCTACAAGTTACTGGGGAACTCTGGTGTCTGAGAATCAAAATTATCCAAAGGGTACATTGCGGATGGGAAGGACAAATGGCGTTTTTCTATTTATTTTCCACACACACACACTCCTTTTATGATTTCCCTCACATTATTTCTAATGGGATGGAAATAAACAGTGCCAGCTCATGTTTGCCCCCTGATCTGGGGGTGTTTTAGGAGAATGGGAGGTCCATGAATTCACATCCTCTCCCAGAATGCCCCTTATGTCTTATCTTCGAACCGTCTGATGTCAGAGCTCCAATGGCAGAAAGAAACCATATGCAGATCTTTCCACACAGCCTCATAAGGCCACCTGGCACCAGATCTCTCTCTCTCTCTCTCTCTTTCCTCTCAGAGAATGGGATTGGATGCATCCCATGACCCCTGGAAAGCCAGGGATCATAGACTGCAGCCATAAAAATAAGGAAGCTTAAAGGAAATGCATTAATCTTTCACCAGGATTTAGCAGGGAATTATTGTGTCACCATATTTTAAGTAGGGATAGCGCACAGATATGGTAGGAGGAAGGAGAGAAGGTGGACTCTGTCATTAGAACTCATGGTCAGCATGCCAATATACCCAGAAGACTGTAGTGGAGTAACAAAGATGGCTTCAGAACAGGAGTCCCAACATGGGCCCCTCTAGATGTTGCTGGACTCCAACTCCCATCAGCCGCGGCCAGCAAGGTCGATGGGAGCTGTTCAGTCTAGCAGCATCTGAAGGGTTCGTTAGCCCTGCCTTAATATTGCATTTGACTGATGAATCATGAGAGGAACTTGACTGGGGTGATTCACAGACATAGAAAACCAGAACTTGAAAGCAGAACTTCGATCAATACTGTGACCTTAGGTGGAGGTCCTCCTGACTGAGCGTCTTCCTTCTATTACAATCGTTTTTGGAGAAGTTGTGGTTTATGTCGTAGGAAATAAATATATGTTGATGGCTCCAAAGAATACTTTCCCAGCCTATATAATGACTAGTGGAAATCAGCTCATTGGCCTAGTGGGAACATTTCACGGTGCTGTTGTGGCCTTCAGACTTCTGAGGCTGCAATCCTGTACAGACGACTGAATACAGTAAGACTCACTTCCTACTAAACATGCATACAACTGGGCTATGAAATGCACAAGTCCCAATCTTCGTCTTCCACAATTTTAGATAATGGAGAGAAATTGACTTGAGCTAACCTTTCCACGAGGGACGCAGGTGGCACTGTGGGTTAAACCACAGAGCCTAGGACTTGCCGATCGGAAGGTCAGCGGTTCGAATCGCCGTGACGGGGTGAGCTCCCGTTGCTCGGTCCCTGCTCCTGCCAACCTAGCAGTTCGAAAGCACCTCAAAGTGCAAGTAGATAAATAGGTACCGCTCCGGCCGGAAGGGAAACGGCGTTTCCGTGCACTGCTCTGGTTCACCAGAAGCGGCTTAGTCATGCTGGCCACATGACCCGGAAGCTGTACGCCGGCTCCCTTGGCCAATAAAGCGAGATGAGCGCCGCAACCCCAGAGTCAGTCACGACTGGACCTAATGGTCAGGGGTCCCTTTACCTTTACCTTTAACCTTTCCACAGAAGACATTTCCCTCCCCTCATCAATGTAGGGAGAACAACAGCCTATGTAGAGATGTCCCATTTTCAAGCAGTGCCATTGTTTCCCATGGTACATACCTAGTCCCTCCCCACATGCCATATATGATGGAACGAATTTTGCCTGCTTCAGGCTGCACCTGAGTATACCCGATTCCTTAATTGAGATTCTCATTCCTTGGGCGTTTGAGGGTGGTAGCTGCACATGCTACTCTTTCTTTCCCCCGCCAGTGAAGTATTTTTATTTTGTCTTAATCTGAGTAAGAGAAATTAGCACCATTAAATAAATAGTTCATTCTTTTTTCTAAAAAGAAGTAAACCACAAGACCACCTGCACCCCATCGCCTTAGTTTATCAGAAAGCATTTCCAGACCCTCCAAGTAACCCTGTTTTCCAGGGACAGTCCCGAATTTACAGAAGCCGTCCCTATTTCTGATTTGATCCTGGAATGTCCCGCTTTTCCTTAAAGGTAGAGGGACCCCTGACCATTAGGTCCAGTCGTGACTGACTGTAGGGTTGCGACGCTCATCTCGCTTTATTGGCCGAGGGAGCCGGTGTACAGCTTCTGGGTCATGTGGCCAGCATGACTAAGCCGCTTCTGGCAAACCAGAGCAATGCACGGAAACGCCGTTTACCTTCCCGCCAGAGTGGTACCTATTTATCTACTTGTACTTTGATGTGCTTTTGAACTGCCAGGTTGGCAGGAGCAGGGACCGAGCAACGGGAGCTCACCCCATCACGGGGATTCGAACCGCCGACCTTCTGATCGGCAAGTCCTAGGCTCTGTGGTTTAACCCACAGCGCCACCCACGTCCCCTTAGGACGTCCCTATTTTCACTGGAGAAATGTTGGAGGGTATGGAGTTATCCTTTCTTGCTCCACCCCCAAATTGCATTCTGCTCTTTAGGTCACAGGTATTGCTCATCTTGGGGTTCAGTTGTCTTACTTCTCTGTATTCCAGTGGTGTCCAAACTTTTTTGAAAGAGGGCCAGATTTGATGAAGTGAAGGGCCGTGAGTTGTGGACCTTTTTTTTAGGATTGTTAAGGTTTTTTTAGGATTTTACCGCACAAAATAAACTGCCACAGGGGCCGGATTAAACCGACCGGCGGGCCAAATTAGGCCCCCAAAATGGACTTTGGACATGCCTTCTGTATCCTGATCAAATCAAAAATCCCTCAGCTTCTTCCATGTGAATTACATACTGTATTGTGCTTGTGTTTTCTTTTCTGTGCAACGACAAACATCTGTGTCAAAATTAATATGGTTATCAAATCAAAACCCACCCAGCCCCCCCCCTTTTCAACCATCCTAAAGCAAGCCATGTGGCCAACATCTGGAATATATGTGGGAATTATTCAAATGAGCTGTAGAAGTAATCATTCTATTCCAGGCGTCGACTAAGAGATGAAAAGAATGGGATCGTCAGCGTGTTATGTGGTATAAGCAAATATACGTAAATATACCAACTGTCCCAGTGGTTCCCTCAAGGAATATTACTTGGTTACTTCTCTACTTTTTGTTTTTCAAATAATTCTAGGGTATTCAATTTTTTAAAAAGCAAAGCATCACACTTAAAAATAAATTTAATTCAGTTATTTTCAGGATCCCTATGCTGAATGCACTAGTGAGTAAGTTGCATTCTGAGTGAGCCTTAGTTGAGAGATTCAGTCTGATGTTTGAGGCTCTTTGCTTCACAGATAAAACTCCTTATTCGAGAGCCACATTGTTCACTTAGTTTTGAAGTTTGGAATAATAGACTTGTACAGCTG